TTCTATTGACGTAAAGCAAGCGTACCTGAACTCCACTATACACCATGATGTATACCTCAAGCCCCCAGTAGGAATCGAAATACCACCCGGAAAGGTGTTGAAGGTAGTGAAAGGACTGTACGGTTTGAAACAGTCGGGCCGAGAATGGAACATTGAGTTAGACTCACACCTCCGGACGATCGGATTTCATTGCATGCCGAGCGCTCCATGCCTATACTCAAGAGGGACAGGCGACAAGATCACGATCATCACAGCATACGTGGACGACATGCTGATAACATCACCCAGTCGTGAGGAAGTAGACCGCGCAAAGCGGGAGATCATGGACAAATGGGAGATGCAAGACAATGGAAGGATCAAAGAATTTCTGGGTATCAAGATTATACGTGATAGAAGACGGAGGAGGATATCCCTGAGTCTAACGGCATACATCAAGGAAATGGTGAACAAATGGTTAGGAGGAGCAAACGAGAAATCCTGGATACCCATGCTGAGTGTAGCGAACACCGCCGGAGGCGAGCGATGTGAACCTAAGCGAGCAAAGAGGTATCAAGAATTGGTCGGCCAACTATTATGGGTCTCCAACACAGCCCGACCAGATATTGCCTTTGCTGTCGGCGTATTGGCGCGATATATGTCGATCCCGATTGACAGTGCATGGAAGGCAGCTGTCCACGTGGTAAAGTACCTGAACCAAACGAACGAATATCAGTTGCACCTAGGAGGAGAGACAAACGAGCACTCGGATACACCGGTAACGACGTATACCGACGCAAACTGGGCATCCGACCCCACAAATGGACGAAGAAGTACCTCGGGGTCGATAACATATGTGTATGGATGTCCGGTGAGTTGGAAATCACACGTTCAGAAGTGTGTGGCACTGTCGGCAGTCGAAGCAGAGTTTGTCGCCGCTTCCGAAGCGGTACGAGAAACCTTATTCTTCTCATATTTGCTCCGGGATTTGGAGGCCACGGGCGTTCGGCCCGTACTATACACAGACAGCCAGGGGTGCATACAGGTGAGTAAAGACCCAGCCAAACATTGGAAGTTAAAGCACATCGACACACGGTATCATTTCGTCCGCGATCACGTACAAGAGGGCGATGTGGAGATCAAATATGTCGGAACGGCAAACAACGTTGCAGATGTCTTGACAAAACCCTTACAGGGTCTTAACACCTCACGATTGGCTAGGATGATAGGACTGGAGATCCCGCCGAAGGGGGGAGTTGAAGATGCGTCGGCATCTCAAGCAAGGTGCACGTGTTACGGCCGAGACATCGAGATACGGGAGGCTCACATAAGCGAGGAGCACAATGAGGTACGCAATTGTTGTCATGGTGACAGCACAGTGGCACCCGGTATCATAGCAACACAGGGGTACAAATGAAGGAACACACCCTGCCTCGGATGGGATCAGAGCAGTGAATGGAGTATATATATGTGTTTGTCATTTAGTCTCACACTAAGAAAACTAAGCATTACATAGAACATACGGCTGTGGCAAAGGGAGTCTGATCGTGACCCCGATAACGCCGTATATTAATTGTTATCTTCAATTGTTTGTGTCTCTGCCAAGAGTGCGCTAGGGATGCTTGGCGGCTCCCCGATCTCTCTCGCCACCCACACGTCTTGTTCGCTGCGATTGCATTACTCGAACGGGCCTCTCCGATATGTTGTTGCTCTTGCCTTCATCCCACTCTCGTTGTGATGGCTTGCACATGCCATTGCTATCTCTGCCACACTCGTTGCTATCAAGGAGGCGTTATCTGGTGGGTCGCAGGTTGTGGGCCTTGAATCGAGTTCGAGGAACCAGACGGTGTCCAACCAAAAAGCATCTCAGAATGGCGGGTCAGGGCCTAACTTATCGCTGGTCAATCCCTCGAGAGCAAATTTACAATTCGGCCTTCTCTTCTTCTGACGCGCAAGTTGTGCGTCAACCTTTTGCCCGAGCCTTAAGTGGACGCATATAGCTTGTGGACAGATTCGAACTGCTTCCAGGTCAGGCGCCTTTTTTTTTTTTTTTTTTTTTTTTTTTTTTTTGGTTTTTTTTGTTTTTTTTGGTCTTTCCTATACGCTCGTTGCCGTTGCGTGATTGGGGAGTTTCGTTTAGGTTGCAGTTCAAACATGTGGGTGGGTTTAGGGTTGCTCTTTGCCCACATCTTCGCCTCGTTTCGTTTCTTGTCCCACACACACCGCTCTTGGCCTAAATTTACTCCATGTTCACTGCTGCCTTCTCTCGTAGCGGCATTTTTCTCCCGTCTTTCGGTGTCTCTTTGACAAGCCTTGAATTTGTCAAAGCCAAGCCAGCCAGCCAGCCAGCCAGACCACCGGTCCGCCTTTTTATCAGTTCCCGTCGGAGATTTTTCTCAGTTCCCATGTCTGTCTGTCTCGTGGTAAGAAGGGCAACTGTTCGCCTGGCTCTCTCTCTCTCTTGGGCGACGACGAGATTCCACCGACGATGGCCCAGACATTTGTACACGCATGCCCCACTAGTCGCCGATGTTGCCGGCCGCATCGAATTGCTTCAGCCTCATTGCGCCTAGATGAATGCCATCAGCATGATCATCAGGCTCTGAGGGCATACTGGTCCATCTTGCAAGGCTGACTGTGCAGAAGGAGCATGAACTTCGGACGGGATCAAAAGGCTGGATCGGATCTCATCTTGGTCGTGTCACACTCATGACCGAGTCTCACAACCACATGCAAGGCTGCCGAAAACGATAGCTCAGAGATGCCGAGAACGCATCAAAAGTTACACATGGTACCGTCATTTAGCAGATTCCGCCGGTGAACCGACCAATCGACTTCTCTCACATCTGTCAATCTTGTTGTACCTCTCCTTCCCGCTGATCACTCCCACCCACTTTCTTTCGCTTCTTTTCGGAGCCCTGTTGCCGAAAAAGATGCTTGTCAAGCTTGATCACGAGCACATGCCCTTGGTCCATGTGTTCCAATGACATATCGTTCGACCCAGCCGAACTCTCATGCTACGGCATACAGAAAGCGCCGAATGTCCTCGGATCCGTGGATCGGTCAAAGTCGAGTAAAAGGCTGGAAAGAGACCATGGCTGAATCTCCGATTGGAACCCTAATCGATCAACAACGATCTGTCTGAAACAGACGCTTCCTTCCGTCACACCACTGCTTCGCTTAACAAGGACCAGACGAGATTCCTGCCACGCTACACACTGTCTCTTTCTCTTTCTACTCCTTCTTGCCGCGACACAGAGGTTCCACCACCATGAGCCAACGTGGGGACCCCGAAGCTCTTTGCAATCTCGCTGATACGCTGACATCAAATTTCATGGTGGCTGCTCTCGATCGAATCTTTCCGGTTGCAACTCTGAACAAAAGATAAGGTCAGCAGGGCGGGGAAAGCGAACAATAGTTTCTCAAACTGCTACGATCAGTAGACCCGTCTCTTGGCAATTCAAACCCCAGATCGCAGTGTCAACGTCATGCAAAAATCGTCGGAGAGGCGGGAAACACCTTTCAATCGGGAGCTGCTCGGTCGTGTGACGGCGTGCAAAAGCTGGAAAATGGAGAGAACTGGACCATATTCCAAAGCAACTGCGACATGGTTCATTACTGTGGTACCACCACGGCAGGCGTAAAGTTCTTGGCAAAGCCATCTTCACCACCTGCTCAATGCGAATTCTGGACTCTCAATGTGGGCGAGGGAGAGGGACAGCAAAGCATGGCAAAAGAACCATCCATTCTTCTTGGTTTCAGGTCGAGAAAAACCCTCAACCCTTGCCGTGAGAGCGGTTTAGGTGGGCAAATTTCGCCGAAATCCTTCCAAGTTTGAGTTTTCTGTTTGGATGGATGCGAACAAAAGGGCGGAAGCTCTCCGCTCTCTCTCCAGAAACCCCACGATTTTTCTATGGTTCCCCGAATTGTAAGTGGGGAAACTCCAGCACTGTGAGGGCGGAGACAAGTGCCTAGTCGATCTAAAGAGGCGAATCCAAGCTCACATGGTGTTAGGGAACAGGAAGAACTGGGATCTTGAGGCGGTAGTTTCCTTCGGATGTCTCCAGGCGAGTCTCGGTCCGTCGGCCAATTTCTGTGTGCTTCTGGATAACTGTGAGATCGTGGAGAGTAACACTCTCCATTCGAAGCAACGGGCAAGCTGTTCAATACGGCACATCACGTTCAGCGTGCGTGTGAGTGCGTGAGTGCGTGTGTGCCGAGAAGTGTCTTAGCGCCAAGGACGCATACCGCACGAGGGCGGTGAAGCGGTCTAATCGTCTGCCTTGGCCTTTCATTCCGTCGACTTCTCACACATTGCTATCAGCGCATGTTGTGGGCGTAGACCAGGCATGCAATGAAAGAAATGCCGAGCACTCGCCATCATGCACCACCTTACCGCCAAGGTCAAGCTGACTGGGATGACCTTGGGGCCCCAAAGCCATCAATTGACCGACGATGACTGCTCCGTTTGACACACAAGCGAAAGAGACGGAGGCATTCACTGCAGCATTCACTGCACATCAGAGCCGACCGTTCAGATCTCCTAGCGAGCGCTTCGCTACGTTTCATGCTAACCACCGTATCTGCATTCCTCACTCACGAGCTTGGACCTTATCGCGCAACCCAACCGAGTGAAAAAGAAAGCCAAGACCTTCCAATTCATCCCACTTTAAAGGCTAGCTGTCTTGCTTTGTTATCTCTTCCCCTTCGGATAACAACCCGACCTAACTCCTCGTTGAAATGCTTCTTGCGAGTCTGCCAAGAAAGCACGTACCCTCACACATCCATTGTCGACGCCATCACACTACGCCCCCCCCCCCCCGCGCACACGCCTGCTCGGTTCTAATAAACTGTATTCGTAGCAGCACGCAAACCTGACGCCAAGTGACGCTACATTCCGATGGGTTGCTCGGCTCAGAGTCGCCAAGGGTCTTCTACTTGCATTAGTGAATTGGGGTATGTCATGTAACGCGTATACTACATCGTCATGAAGGGTATCTAGAAAAGAGGGTCTATCCAGGGCACTATTCACGAATGGCTTCCCATCGCAGAGCGCTCAGTCGCGCAGCTTCGGAAGGTGGACCCATCGAATCCGGTCTGCTTCGTCGACGGGCATCCTTGACGCCAGATCGAATGCCTTTGCTCGATTCAGCGGCGGACAAAGAAGAAGAGCTGCCCGCCTTGAAAGGTTTCGGTCCTGAGCCAGCAAAGCGTGAGAAGCCGTACTCGTCAGAGCCAGCTGCAATGTCGCCATGCGCTGGGTTTGTCGACGCGTTTCTATTGGGCTGAGAAGACGTGGCTGCAGTATTGTCATCGTGCGAACTGGACGAGCCCAGCTGGAAGGTACGACGTCGTCTCGCTGGCAAGCCAGAGGAAGGTACGGGCGGCTCTGCGTCTCGAGGGGTCTTCTGCTCAAATGAAGCTTGCCTACCGTTGGCATGCTTGTTATCACTGCTACATTTGCGTTGCTTGCTCATCGCGCCAGTCTGCGAGCTTCCACTTGTCGTACCGGTCCCACTGGCAGCGCTGCTTCCTACAACACTGGCACTCCCCGACGTCGTCTGCCAACCAGGTGTCACAGGTGCACTTCGCACAGTGAAATGCTCCATGTTCCTTGTAAAGGGACTCAACGTATGGTTCGACTTGACCAGATCCAGGAAGTGAGCAGAGGCATCGATCGACAGTCGAGTCGGTGCATTCCCAGAGCCGTGTCCACCTTTTGACTGACCCGCAGCTTGCGGACTGTTGCTCGCGCTAGCAAAGGGTCCTGCCATGTTAGAGGCACCCCGTGGGCTGCCATGATGGAGGCTCGAATCACGGAAGGGCGAGATCGACAGCATATCTTGCGCGCCAGAGGGTGACGTCGAAAAGACCGCATCTCGGTCTGAGGTTGCTCGCAACTGTGGACTGCGCTCCCAACTGGCCAAATCGCCAGGCGGAGAGGTTGCATAGGTGACTCTGCTTCGACCTGGAGTGGCAGCAAGGCCGGGACCTTCCCCGGTGCGTTGCGGAAGGAAGCCAGAACGATCGCCATTCTTCATTGTCTTTGAACGCTGGTGGTTTGCGCTCTTGTTCTTGCGGAACTTGATGCCGGAGTTTGACTGTGTTTCCGAGTTGAGCTGAGCGTTGGCAGCTCGGCTTGCAGCATCGAATCCATTCTGCATATCCCAGTTCTGCGACTGAGACGAAGTCGGTGCGGTGCTTGCGGCGGCACTGTGGTCCCATTGTAAATCTTGAATGGAAAGATCACGGTGGGAAGAATCGCGGCTCGTCGAGGCCGGCCTCCCGTTCGCAAGGCTCCTTCGCTGGCTTGAGCTTGAGGAAGATGAGTGCTCTGCATCGAGGACCTGCTGAAGGGAAGCGTCGCTGCTGTGGTAAGATCCAGGCGGGAGGTCCAACAAGCTCTCGTCACTACTGTCGCGCGAAACAAAGGCGGCACCAAGCTGAGGCGAATCGTGCATACCCCGCACTGTGTTGGTGCGCGAACTCTGAGCACCCATCGTGGCACTGCCGTAGTCAGATCCGAAATGAGTCGCACCCGTTCTTGTGGAGGGTGTACCACCGTACTGAGACGGTCGAGCTGTGTCCTCGTCATCCCAGTCCACCTCCGGAGGCTGCACCTTGCTAGCGGTGTGATAGATTCTAGGCCTTGTCACCGTACCGCCTCCCACTGCGGGGATTGTTTCGTAAAGGATCTCAGGTTCTGGCTTCTTCCTTCGAGCGGACGACGTTGCTGATCTCTCAGATCGAGTGGAAGACGCACCACGAGCACCCGATGAAGGACGGCCAGACTGCGAGCTTCGCTTGCCTCGCTTCGTTGACGACTGAGGCTGATTGTCAAAGATGATGGAAGAAGCGCGATTGAGCTCATGGGTGTCGGAAAAGGCGGCGGAGGCAGGTGGGTATCCAAAGCGGGTGTAGTCAATGGAAGTGTCGACAGCACTGTCTTGCTCGTGCATGTCCAGGTCAGGCACGTCATCTTCGAGCTCTTCCGAAGCTGCGTCGGCGTCCGAGTCCGTGGTCATGTCATCCTCCGAACGCTCGCCTTCCTGCGAGTCATTGCCATCGTGATCCTGATCAAGTTCTGAGTCGACATCATCTGATCGCATTTCGAGATCGTCAAAAGCAGCTCCGTCCAGATCGATGTCGTTGCCATCCTGCATGATGGCCTTCGTCGGACCGAGCGTGGGCGATGGTGCTGTGAGATCCTTGAGCCCACCAAGACCTCGTTGAGCCAGTTTCCCGAGCCCAGAGAAGCCGCTATGTGTTGGCAGATCGTCAGGACGTAGACCATATGTAGGATCGTAGTGCTCAATGTCAGGGAAGGCGGCATCGAAGGGGGACGCGTGAGTCGAAGGAAGCTCATCGTGAAGCAGGGCGGCTGAGGTAGATGCAGCCTTAGCGACGTGTCGAGGCCGCCGCAAGCTTCCACGAGCTTTCGGAGGAGAGCGACTAGACGGAGCGGCAGACCCAGCCACATTGCCTGCTGACCTTCCTTGCTGCGACTTTCTGCCCTTGTTATGAGTGCGTCTGGACGGACCGCCTGACGCAGAGGCAGTCTCGAGAACGTCAAGAGGCTCGCTGGAGGAACGCGGAAGATTTGGCTCTCTTGTCCGTGTGGGCTTAGGTCCTTGTGAGACATCGTCCGCCTCTGACCTTTGCTTCGCCTTCTCCTTCTCCGATTTGACCTCGCCGCTAAGCCACCTTTGGCTCAATCTGTGAATGATGCCGGGCAAATCTTCTCGGAACATCTCGCGCAACTGCCCTTCAATTTCTTGTTGGAGATACTTTTGGATGACGGCTACACTGTCAAAAGTGGAGCTCACTTCGACGCTCTCGAGTGGATCATTCTTGAAGACGAGTGTGATTCCTTTGGCCTTTGAGACGACCAGGACGACAATGGCACGAAGCTTGACAGACGAGAGCCGCAAGTGCATGGGCACGACGAGCGGCGCAGCGGCAAATAGAATACCTCTGGATGCATTGGAGGAAGGAAAGAGGCCAATGTCTGGTCGGTTGGGTTTAGAAAGTGGATTGGCCTGTACCTTTGTCTTTAGGACGAGATGTGCATCGCCGGCGTACGTGAGTCGGAAGATGCCGCGGAAACGGTCGGTACCAAGGTCACCAATCTCGAGAATCTCGAGCTCTGGAGGGATGGTGCCCATTCCAAGCTCTTCTACTAAGATGTCGTCCGCAATGACTTTTGGCTTTGGTCCACGGTTGAGCGCGCTGTTGAGCATTTGCGCTGCGCTCGTGTGGAACGCCTCCGAGAAAGTCGGCCATTTGAAGTTGAACGACATGATGGGCTAGAATTCTATGGTGTTAATGGAAAAAAGAATTTGTGATGATTGCGTGCTTTGCGCACTTAGGTTGAAACGAAACGGCGCGGTTGATGACGGAGCCTGAGAGGCTGTTGGCTATGAATGGATTGTCGACATGGAAACGGGTTCGGATGGCGCCAGCGCTCGATATCCGCGGTGAGTGACCAGCCCAAAGGTGAGAGTTGGAAGTCGTGCAATCAGAACTGAAGCATGTCGAAACACGTTCAGGATACAATGAAGATGTGATAGGGAAGGTTGAGTCTGATGAGAGCGTGTGTTTGAGAATGTGAATCTTGAGGCTGAAACTACTAGCTGGAAAGTGTGAGTAGGGGGTTTCAGTTATCTCTGAGTTTTGAAAACACAATACTTTGAAAATATGTTTAAGCCCAATTTTTGATGCCCCAAGAAACTGCACAGGCCTGTGACACTTGCATCTTGGAGTTTCACTTGACTCAGCTGGTAAAAACAATCTCTGATTCCCTACACCAGGTCAAGATCAAAGTGATCATATCAGACATTGTTGAACACTATACTGAACAATGCCAAAACCTTTGATTGAAAAGCTAAAGCAAATAGCTTACATCACACCTGTTCTGATAGCTGTCTTCTGTGAGCCTCATGCCATCAGTTTTGTCTCTCCTGCCATTCAGTGAAGGCCAATGTTGTCATTCCCATCCTTTGAGATTCTGCTGTTGTGTCCTCAAAAGGGCAGCCATGAGAAGCAAAGAGTGCAGTGAGCATCTCCTCCCTAAGATCCAGTGCTTTCTCCTGCCTGAACTTCTGGACTTGGTTCTGAGACATGCCCTCCATGGCAGCAGCCTGTTCCTGTTCATATTGCTGCTGGTTTTCCCTTTGTTGTATCCTTGCATCTTCAGTAGCCTGCTGATATGCTTCCATCCCTGATGTGGTCTCCAGCACTTCAGCTTCAGATAGATTTTCTGATGCCTTAAGGTATTCTGCCACCTCATCTGGTTGATCATAATGGCTTGCAAATGTATGTGCAATGATACAAGCCTGGACCATATGTGCAGCTTTCTCATGGTCCTCTTCTTGATACAGGTTGCCTCAAAATCCCATGAGACATTGGAAGCGGTTCTTGAGGTAGGCAATGCCATGTTCAGCTTTGACATGAATGTGGGAGAGTGAATAGTTGAAGTAGTGGAGATCTCTGCTCTTTGCAACTGCAGTGTTGCTGTACAGTCCAACTGTGTAGCTGGAGTAGCCATAACCAGCATCAACCCAGACAAACTTGCCTTCATCAAGATGCAAACGAGGCTTTGCAACAATACCACTGCCTGAAGCCCAGACTTGTGCATCATGTGATGACCCAGGATGTCCAACCACTGACTTGACAATGTGCAAGGAATGAGGGAGGAAGACAAGGGCAATGTTGAATGTATAATCACCCTTGTATGAGTAATGCTTGCAAGCATTGAGTGCTGGCTTCCAAGCAAGATTGATGTGTGTACCATCTACAACCAACCATCCTCTAGACCATTCCTTGACTCCACTCTTATCAGCAACCCATGCTTTTGCCTTAGCACACTCATCTTCAGTTGCAAAGGTTACTACCTCACTGTTCAGCTTGTATAGGCCTGCAATAGTCCTATCTGTCCACTTGTGAACTGAGCCCCAACTGCAACTGCAGGCAAATGCAACATCATGAACTCCACCACCATTTCCTGACCATCCAAGCTGATATAGACCAACTGCCACTTGCTGCTGAACATGCCAAAAAAGTGAGAGCTTGGAATGCATCTGGAATCATGTGAACAGCCCCTCAAAAGAGCTTACAGTTGATGACAGCAGACAGCATGATCAAACATGTCATCATCAGAATCTTCAAGGTCATCATTAGGGTGCCAAGTGGCATCAACATCCATCAGATCAAGTTGCATCTTGGATTCCACCATCAATGAGTGCATGATGGTGGTCTCAATGTTGTCCAGGAGGTGCTGTTTGTCAGAAGTGTGCACCATGGTTGAAGTAGAGGGCCAGAAATAGGAGATTGATGATTGATGAGTTCAGTTGAACAAGGATGATGTGGTCTGAAAGAGAGTCCAAAGCTACAAACACAACTCAGCTGAGTTCTGTGCAACATGCATGCTTGGAACTGGGGCTACATGCAGCATTCCTCCACCAAGATCATTCTTCCACACTTACACCAATCAGCATCTTGTATGTGGAACAATTCATCACATTGAAGCAATCTACATTTGAGAGATTACATGGAAGACTGGGTATAGGGTATGCTAGTCATACATATTGAGAGCTAGCTTTACAGAGAGCAATGGTACAACAAGTTGGAAACACAGGAACAGAACTTGGAGAACTCGAAAAGAACACCATTCTTGCCAAATGGTCTACTCATGAGCTGAATCACTGTTGTCCTGCTGATCCATGGCACAAACCAGTGGGTCAAGTTCAAGATTGCTTTGACTACTTCCAGCAATGTTGCCAAAGGGTAGATTAGGGTTCATCATCTGCACCATCTCCATGAGCCAACCATGCTCTTCAGTTTGCATGTGCTCTTGTCTCTCACTTTCTTCCCTGGCAAATTGAATGTGCATTTCCTCCCTCTTTGTGCATTCCTCCTCAACCTTGATTCTTGCCTGAAGCATGTCTTGGGTGCAGGCCCACACAATTTCTGACAGCTCTTCTCACTTGCTCTTGGAAGTGGAGGGTCAAGACTTCTTGGGTGTTGTACCTGTGGCTGGAGAATAGAAAACAGAGCCACCATCACCATCATCCACTTCATCAGCCCCAAAAGTGGTGCTGGATGAGCACTGGCAGGTTGGAGTGTCTATAGGGGTAATGGTGAAGGGGGTGGGGCCAATCAAAGATGGGTTGGATGAGGAAGAGAAGGGTGAGTGGGATGAAGATGAAGCAGCAGCTGGGGTGGCTGCAACCAAAGAAGAAAAAGATGAGATAACTCTTGCTCCAATGGGATCATATTGCAACTCCTCAAGAATGGATTCCATGCCAGGAATGTTGCATCACTGAGGGTAGAGAGCATTGCTGGCATCATCCATGTTCACATCAGCATCAACCTAGTTATTCTGAGAGGAGGCAGGGGGGGCATCATATGGGTGACCAGTGAGAAGAACAACTGGACCAGTCTGTGCACAGTTGGTCATCATCTCATGCCAGTGCTCAAACCAAGGGTGGCTTTGAGCAATCAATTTGCATGTGGCATAGTCCTGCAAGTTGATAAAGAAGCATAGACAGAGATATAAAGTATAAGAACATTGGCACACTTAACATGAATCAACTAAGTTGTACTTACAGAGCTGTTGTGATCCATGTCTTGAAGAAGTACTCCAGCACTGGTCTGCTGCAAGATGGTCTTCTTGATGTTGTTGTATTGTACAGTGAGCCAGTGAATCTTAGTCTTTACTCAACCAGCACCACCAACAGTAGACTCATCTGGGAACAGCTCCTGCCATATCTGCCCACAGATAATGTCTTTGTTTGTCTTCAGACCCTTTTCCTGTTCCACAGTCAAACATCCTGGCAATAGAACATGTTGGTATTGATCATTATTGTAGATGATATCAACAAGGTGATTTATGTCACTAGGTGACCAATTGAAGTAGGCAATATGATCTGTTTTGTTGAAACTGCTGCCACAAGTACTGGCTTGATGGCTGTGAGCTGCAGAGATTCGAGTTGGGCAGGTAGAGGCTTGGCAAGGCAAAGAACCAGCAGATGTGGTGGCATTGGAACCAGAAGGAGTGGAGGAGGACAAAGGGGAAGTGGGAGAGGTTGCTGGCTGAGTTGACTCAGCCCCAGCCAAGGTGCTGGAAGTTGCAGAAGGGTGGGGCTGATGAGAGCCATCAAGGTTGGACTGAGCTGACATTGTGTTGTGCTGCGAAGCAGTTGAAGACTGCTCTGATGTTGGAGCCAATCCAGAGGCTTGCTGCAAAGCTGTGAATAGTGTATTGTTGTTGATATGGTCATGAGGGGATGGCATGTCCATGTCCTGGCACTGACAAGGAGGAAATGCTACTGGAGATGGTGATAGAAGTGAAGCAAGGACAGACATAACTCAAAGCATGAGAAAGTGTAGACAGTGCAGAAAGTGGAGTTCAAGGGTTGTGTGCAGAATTGTGTTAGAATCACATGATATCAGCACATGACAAAAACTCCTGCTGAAAACTCAAATATTCAGAAACCTGGGCTCATGGCAAAAATAAGTAGAGGTTTTCAAAACTTCTGAGCTTTTCTTTCCTGGCAGAGCTTACTTCAGCAGCGAGTTTTCAAAATCCAAAAAAACCATGAAAACTCAGAGAAAACTGAAACCCCCTAGTGCAAGACTTACTCACACACTCACACACTAAGGGGGTTTCTATTTTATTTTATTTTGCCCTCGAAAACTAGAGTCTTCCAATACTCAAAAAAGCTCAGGAAATTGATGCCCCCAAATGTAAGCTGTGTTTTTAGAGGGTTAATTTTCAAAGCCAACCAAGGGAGAGTAGTGTCAGCCAGAAAATGAAGCAGTTCCAGAATCCAAACCACCTTGTAGATCCACTATCTTTGACACTCTTGTAGCACAATCAAAGTAGATACAGTCATTTATATTGCCATTGCTATGTCTGTGAAGCCTGTTGAACATCCCCTGTATGCTGTGAGCCCTCTGCCTGCTGCCTCTGCCTTTGTCTTCTTTGTCAAGATTCACTTTGCCTGCTCTGCAGACCTTGGAGCTTGTTATATGCCACAGTTGTCATAGCTTTCCTCCTTGATTCAGCTGTGGTATCCTCAAATGATTTGCCATTAGCAACAAAGAGAGCACTGAACATCTCTTCCCTGAGATCCAGAGCCTGATCAGCACAGAACTTGTTTCCAATTCTGTGACATACCTTGAGGGGCATCAGCAATTATCTGCTCATATTGTGCTTGGTTGTCTTGTCACATAATCCTGGCTTCCTTGGTTGCTTGAAGGTATGAGGGGAGACCAGATGTGACATCTGCAATGTCTT